TCTAGATTCTCAAATCATGAATCATTCCCTGTAAGGTAGAATCAATCATTACTAATAGAATGAAATCACCATAACTTATGGAAATAAATACTACCAAAGTATTCAGAGTTTGAAGATTATATGCAATCCCAATAAAGGTTTAGTTGCCCATGGCGTACATTACAATAAGGAAAAAAATGGTTAAAATAGTTCCCCAATGATCTTCACTGCTCTTCCAAACTTTCTCCACTATTCAAATTAGGTCATCAAATGCGGACCTTCTTTTTCTTAAGCTGATTTTTCTTTCTTAATGGTTAAGTGAATTCTTGTTTAGGAGAGAATTTTTGCTCAAGCGAAAAGCCATTTCTCACTCAAGCCACAATCTCGCTCAGGATGATAAAGGAGTCTTGGTCAAGCGAAGGTCATTCTTGCTCAGGCGAGATTCAAGCAGAGAGCAGGTCTGCAACATGCAGTCTCACTCGAGCGAGGCAAACGAAAAACTTCTCACTTAAGTGAGACTTAATCAAAATAGGTGCCTTAGCCTCTTTTTCCTTCAATCCTCATCAAGCCTTGTCCTATAGAAAATGCACAAGAGAAATGGATCAAATATTTCTTCTTCTTAGATAAACAAAACAATAAATGCTAAATTTAAATGACTTCAAATAAAAAGGATGTTAAATTTAAATTGCTTGAAATTAAAGGAAATTAAATTAAAAATTAAAAGAAATGGATAAGTGTTCAAATATACACTGCAAACTAGGGGTGATTAGCAGTCGGTTTCCGTTAGTTTTGGACCATTTTTCTTCAATCTGATTAAACTCATACCTATTTTTATGTCATTCATTTTTACCCAATAATGTTTCTAGTGAAACAATTTTTGGGTTAGTGGTAAAAGGGTTTGCTTATTCTTAGTTTGTAGTTATTTGAGTTCTAAAATCACTCTTTCCTCTTCCTAGGGTCTCTTTTCTCTTTTTTATCATTGCACCTTCTTCCTTTCTCTCTCACTTTCTTCTTTTCTCTTACATAATTATGACTGTTATTGAGTTAAGATTTATGTGTTTCATATTTTAAATGGTCGCCATTTTTTATGATCTTTCATCTCTAGTGATAGTGCTTTGTTTTCATCTTTCAAACTCAACTTAATCCACTAGTCTAACTTGTCACCTACCAAAGTCATCACCCGCTCAATCTAAGATACTATTGAGACGGAAATAACTTAAATTTGTAGGAAATTGGATTGCTTTGATTTCGAGTTTTTGAACCCAAACCCACTCAAACATGGCTATTGTATGCCCCTAATTGTTATGGGTAATAAACCATAATGCTTAATATATCTCAAATAGAGAGAGTTTAGCCTAATAAAAAATTAGTTGTAAAGAGCACAATCTTATCAATTATGAGTTTGGACCTTTATGATTGAACCTCAAAAAAATTTAATTTAAATTACTTTCAAACACTAATGAAAGTATCAAATTATAAAAAAAATTGATAAATATATTTTAGAATAAATTTTTTTATTTTTTAGTTTTTTTATGCTACATAGGCCTCTCTCTTATATTTTAAAATTGTTCTATATTTATATACACATAAATTTAATTAAGTTCAAATGGAATAAAATTTACTAAGACTTTTTAATCGATAGTTAACTTAAAATGTGATTAAAATGACAAAAATATCATAGAAGAGTGATTAAACTTAAAATGTGATTAAATTCAAAGTAGTCATTATCATTTGATTATTTTTATTTCATAAATGTGAAATATTTTGATATTCATATGAAGAAATAACTATGGTAAATTTTTAAAATATTATTTTAGTTCAGAGTATAAGTATCATATATTTTACATTAGATAATTTTATTTGAGTTACAAATTTTTACAGCATAATGAGATTAATTCTCTTAATTTTTTTTTATTTACAACATTTGAATTTGAGATCTTAGTTAAGATAAATTAAGAATGTACCATTTAAACCAACTCCTATTAGTAGTAATTACTCTTACTTTAACCTTTTAAATGGATATATAAATATAGTATTTTTTTTATCAAATTAAAATTAATAATAAAAAGAAACAATGCAGTAATAAATTATTACCATGCTGTAATAACAAAGTATTACTTTCCTTGTTTCCTTTTATTTATTTACTTAAGAGATACACATATTAAAAAATTATAATTAATATTTTACTTTATATTAAAATCATTTATAATTTTTTTAATACGACATTGACTGTTATTTCTCTTTTATAGTGCATAAAATTTTTATCATTTATAAATTTTGGTAAACATTTTGTTACCATGGGTACATTCATGATAAGCACGGTTTGGTTCATTTCATCTTGAAAACCAAAGAGCAGATAATTTGTCACGGCACTCATGGTGATTGATTTACTGTTCTTTTAGAATTTGTTTTATTTGAAAATTGAAAGTTGTTAATATCATATCAGTCCATGTTAATACGTTATCAAACCTTTGTTAAGCTAGTAATTGATTAGCATGCATGGTTAATCCATTGCTCATAATAGCATATATCAAGTAATTGATTACCGTATCCTGTAATCAATTACTAAGTTCTTTGCAGCAACCTAAAAGCATGTTTTTAAGCTAATGATCAATTATCAAGCTAGTAAAATGGATTCATAATGTTAAAAGGGTAATTTAGAATATCCATAATCTAAGTAAAATAGGTATTTATAAATAGAAGAAGGGAATTAATCTTCCCATTTAAATTTTACATGTCATTCTTGTAAAAATATTATTTGTATCCAAATCATTGTTATATATTCACGTATACAAGAAGGGAGAGGTTGATATTCATACTATTCCACAGAATATATCACTTTTTATTTTTGGGTCAAACAAAGTTAATCGATCACTTCTTTAATTGGTCGAAGTGAATAGATCACTTTGAAGTTACTTAAATTGCTTTGGACTTGGACTTGCAAGCAATCAAGAAAAGCCGTGCCATGTCTTCACACTTCGTGTGTTGCAACATTTAAATGCTTATTGTTATTTTTATTTAAGTAATTTTTTAAAATATTAATTTTTACTAAAATTAAAAGTACTTTGAATAAAAGATATTCAATAAGAGTGAAAATAAACATATGGGACTATCCCTTTCCAAATGTACTAAAATACTAAAACTATTAGTTTTAAAATTAGATTTATCATCAAATTAGTAAAGATATTGACTGACAATTCACTAATTTAACCGTAATTAAATTGATAATAACTAAATATATAATTTTAATATTGTATAATTTATTTAATAATAAATTACGATAAATCATAATAAATTAAATTTTAAATTAACATAAAAAGTTATATTACAGGTTTTATTAAATAAAAATTATAAAAATATTTAAATAATAATAATAATGCGTATATAGATCTTATGTGAGTTTTTACTTATTTTAAAAATATTTTAAAATTAAAAGTTTTTAAAATATAAAACAACCCGTTCGAACCTGTTTTTTAGATTGCATTTTGATATATTTTGCCTGGTTTGCGATCGGTTAGAACAGTTGTTGCATTGTTTGTTTGGTTATCTAAATTGGTGAGTTGACTAATTTCTAGTTGAATCCACCGATCCGACATAAATTTTTAAACATTTATCAACATCATGATAATAATAATAATAAAATTGTATCAAGATGTATAGCAGTTAATGTGTGTATTTGAAAAAAATAAAAATATCCTTAATTTAAAATTAGTGTTCTTAAATTGATTTGAAAGAGTCTAAAATAAAAGTTAAGATTATAAATTATTCAAAATTATTATATCGTATATATTTAGATAATAAAAAATTATTTTTAAAATAATGTAAATTGATATTTAACAATTTATATTTATAATTCATAATTTCTCTCCTATGTTATTCTCATTTTAAACATTTTTTATTATTAATTTTATATTTTTTCATTTAAACACAACTTAAATATATCACTAATTATATATTAATTACTATTTCAAAATTGTTAATAACATGTTCCTGTGGTTTAGGTCTTTGGTGTAACCTTCAAGTTAGATTGTAATTAATCTCTCTAGTATGTCATTAAACTCCTATTCAAGGTGAATTTGAATGCACATATTAGCTTGACACTTTTTCAACTGTTTTTGTTTTTGTTTTTTTAACTATGCTTATGTAATTTAACGATAGAATTGATTAAAAAAAGTTAAAAATAATTTATTTTAAAAATTTATACTAAGAAATATAGTTAAAAAAATAAAAATTATTTCATAAAGTATTCATATATGAAGCAAGAAGCATAGATTGGTAAAATATTAAAGAAGTTTTTTTTGTTTTTAATTTGTGACAATTATTGGGAACGAAATACGATACTAACTGAGTCAGTGTGGAACAAAAAGAATGTTAGTATTACTAAACCGCACGCTTTGCTTATTAAATATGATTTTAGCAGAAATATTATACAATAAATCCCAAATGTCTAACCTTAAGCACATCCTTGACTCCCTCAACGTCGCCCAACAGATCCGTCCAAGCTCCTTAGCTTTCTCCTCTCTCCACGTGGCACCTTCGCCCGCTCCTTAGGTCCGTGCCGGTGCCGATCACTCATTTATTTCCAACTATAAAATAAAAATAGATTCTTTTAAGATATGTCTAATAACATACAATAAAAATTTATATATAATATTTTTATTCAAAATTATACAATATCACAAAAATAGTATTTTTAATAACAATTATTGTTGATTAATTTTGTATTATATATCCTTTAACATAAAATTAAAAAAAATTAAACAAGTAGTTTACATTATTACACCATATTTGACAATTATTAATACCAAAGTCCACAATAATTATTTCATGCTCCAATTAATGTCAACTTGGCTTTAAATTGACTTGCCTAGCAAGCCGGAGTTAGTTGGCGAGGACATTTTAGAGAGAAAAAACACTCTTTTACTATAGCTGTGGGGTGCAAGGTAAGAGCTGTGCAGAAAAAGACCTTTTGATTAGTGCACATCCTTCCCTCTCTTCATTCATTCTTCATAATCATATTATAGCTCTCACTCATCTTTCATTTTGTGTTGAGAGAGATGGGCAATTGCCAAGCTGTGGATGCTGCAGCTCTAGTGATCCAACACCCCTCAGGGAAGATAGAAAGGTTGTATTGGCCAGTGAGTGCAAGTGAAGTCATGAAGACTAATCCAGGTTATTATGTCTCTTTGATCATACCATTGTCTGTGTCTGAAGGCCAGAATCAGGATCAGAAGAATGTGGTTTTTACCCGTGTCAAGCTGCTCCGGCCGAATGAGACTCTCACTCTTGGCCATGCTTATAGGCTCGTGACTACTCAAGGTAATCAATGTTTAAGACGGTTTGTGTTAGCTTAGTTTCTTTCATGTGGTAAAAAGGTTTTCTGTTTCTGGGTTTTAGAGGTTATGAAGGCATTGAAAGCCAAGAAAAATGCAAAGATGAGGAAGCCACAGGCAAACGCGGTAGAGGCTATGCAAATAGTGCACCTAGAAAAGGCAAGTTCGGATAGTGAAAATGGAGGGATGTTGGACTCTGGAAATATATATCAGGTTTGCTTCTGATACTCATCATCATCAGTCATTTTTCCCTCTGCCGTTTTGGTTAGATAATATTTCACAAATGATATTGTATTAGGAAGTTTTTCAATCTATCCACCAATGTTTCCACTTCAGACATTGATCTACCAATTCACTCTTCACTGAATGCTACTCTCTTTGGTGGATATATCTTAAAATACGTTACCAGTGTTGCAACTCTGGCCCTTGCAGTTCTTTGGAAACAGAGAACACTTAAAATAAAGAGATAGGAAAACAAAAACACATAGGCAGGATTTCATAATTATATACAACTTTTTTCTTTATTTTGTGTGTTTGTCTTTATTGTGAATGAGTACTCTGATGCTGTAACTGCATAATGAGATTCAGGCAATAAGGGCAGACAGACACAAGCAAAGGAGTTCCACACATGCTGCACTCAAGCTGAAATCGTGGCGTCCCTCTCTGCAGAGCATCTCAGAAGGTGGGAGTTAATTGTGACATGTAAGGTGTCTCATACAACATTATTTGATTGCCTTTTTCATGTTTGATGCTCCTCCTGGTTGAATACCCGATACATGGCCAAAGTTCAAGAAAGGTTCCAACTACGAACTGCAATTTCTCTTCCATTACCAATCGCAATCTCAAATAAATCACCATGTTCCAGGGACAGCATGTTTGTATAGCACCATGAAGAAGAAGAAATAAATAGCAAATGTCAAAATCTACAAGTGATATATTTTTTTCTTTTTTGTTGTTGTTAAAGCGTCCATTAGTTAGAAGCAAATAAGAAATCTTTACACTGTAAAAGATAAAAAAAGTTGTAAAGTGGAAGTCATTGTAGTTTTGTGTTCCAAACTTCCCAATCCTTATCAACATAATTTTGTGCCCATAATAGTGACGCCCTTGCTGCTAGAGCTGCTCCTGGTAATTTCCTCTTCTTTAGAGCAACCAACATATCCGTGAATGGCTCCACCAACAATGTCCCAGGACCTCCATACTCCTTGTGCAAAAACTCATTAAATATCTGTTTTCCATTTAATGATGGTTATTATTATAATCAATTAAGTTCAAATTGGAATTACTACATAAAAACGACATATTTTCATTTATGCTGATGCACCAGGTAACATGAAACAAGTTCCATATTAACTAAGTCAGACTCTAATATCCAATGCCAAACACACATACAAACACATACCTCAGATCTGCATAGTCTTGATGGTATTAAAATCAGAAATGATATTATAATACGTCTCTAGATTTAGGTATTTTGGATCGATTATATAGAATGATAAAAAAAAAAATAAAGATATTACTCATATAATATAAGTTGAGTGGTTAAAATAAAAACAAACATCAAGAATTATTTGTGATTATGAAGTACTTATCAAACTGAAAGAAAAGTTTTACCATAAATATTGGGCTTTAAAGGAACAATACGATAACAAAGTGAAAGTGCCAAATATGTAAATTTTAATGTGGATGAGTAGTTACAAGAAAGAGGATATAATAAAAAATGATAGTATTCGTGAGAATATTAAAGTAGTATCTATAGTGAAAAAATGACTAAAATTCATTTAAAATATTTTATTCACGTGCAGAGAAAACATTTGGAGAAATCAATAAGGAAAATAAATTGCATGACTTTTAGCCTGATAAAAAGAGATTGAAGAAAATATAAAAGGACCTTAAATGAAATTGTTAAAAGAAATCTTTTGATTAATTAGATTTCTAAAACAAAAATTAGTTTTTGATCGGGTTCAATAGCATCGTGTGATCTAAGTAGTCAACCCCACCTAGTGGGATAAGGCTTTGCTGTTATAGTTATTAACCTTGTTGTCTACACACCAACGCTATGATTGTGCTGAGAAGACAAAGCTAATGTTAATCCAAATGAATTATACTATACTTTATTACTTGATCATCTTCCTTTGGAATCCAGACCCTTAAACTGTGATTGAGATACCAAATAATATTGATTAAGCAGGGTTCATAAGCCAGAAATCTCCAGCAACACCAATCACATTAAGCAGAGTTCATAACTTTGCAAGTAGTCAATAAGAATTAGGACAGGCCAGATATTTCAATGATCAAACGCCACCATTAAAAACCAGCTAGTGAACTCTTAAAAAAACTCATAATGGCAGCCCCTTTCCCATTATAGTATTGTTTTATTTACAAGGTATTTGTAGTATGTTATTATTCCATCAAACACTGGATAAAGAAAGAAATAAAGCAATATAATTTAATTCACAATTTTCCAGATCTTAGCATTTCAAATGATCCCCAATGTGTAGTATTTCTATTATCACAACAATCCAAAGAAACTATATCTGACCACATAATTATAATTAAATCAGACAGTAATTACTGATTGAGGCCCAAAACTGTCAATTGAAATTGACCAATATATGGAATAGTAGGATACAATTAAATGACATCAGGGGTTCATATGCAAAAACACCAACTTGGAGAGATTCGAACCGCATTAATAAAATGGTGATTGTATATAAACAGATAAACGTAACTTTGACTTTTGGATAATCATTCAGGAAAATTTAATTTATAAAATTCTGTCGACTTAGGACTCAATGATTCAAAACGGTTAAAGAAAAGGTCCATATAAATGAAGTCATATGAAGTTTGGACCAAATTGGCACATACAATTAAAATTCTTATTAATTTGACATTATTTGTTCTAGGAAAAGAATGACAAAAACAAACATTAATGAACAAATTCCTTTAGACATATGCATAGTGACCAAAAAACTATAAGATGAGAATGTTGTTTTAAAGAGTACGCATGGTAACAAAGAAGGGTATTATCAAAGAATTAAATGCAGGTCTTTAAAGTTTCAACTTCATTAAAAAATCACTAAAGTACTGACAAAGGAAGTACAGTTCTTTACTGGACGAGATAAATGTAGCATCTAATTTTGTTTTTTATAGAGTCCAAAATTCTATATACAAGATCAATTACTCTCAGCCTTATCTTTTACTAGACAGCAACACTGCATTAATTTATCTTTTAAATCAAAAGCAGTTTTCTAATTATAAGCGGTCGAGAAAAAATCCATTAAACCAAACACTTCCAGCCAGAAAAAAAAATAAAAAAATCCCCTGATCAAATGCTTAAAACATGAGATGTAGAATTATTTTCTTTTGCTAATTAACCCAGCATAAAAACTATAGAGAAAGACAATACATCCCAACTCAAATTTCCAACAGAAATCCATATGAATAGAGTAAGTCTAATATTATCTAAGAATATATTTATACATGTCATGGCTTGCTTTTCTGTCGATTGATGAAAGAAATGCAAAGTGATTAGTATGCAATTAAAACCTAACTTGGGAACTGGAAAACAACCTTAACATCATAAAAAGCACAACTATAAAGAAAGAAAGAAAACAGTAGAAGAGAGTGGAAGAGAAAGAAGAGAAACTGATTGGTGTGAGGTCTACATGCACGCAACCAACCATTATGTGAAAATTGACACATGTATGAATGAGACCGAAACTTGGTTTTAAAAATTGTGGAATAAGAAGGACATCATAGGGTACTTAAAACATATATTGCTTTTCAAACTGAGATCACAATTACAGTAACCAGTGAAGTCCGAAGATGAAAGACAAGATACATTCCAGCATAACTTAACTTAGTAAGCTGTAAACCAGTTCATTTATAACTCTCACAATCAAATCATACCAAAATTCAGAGTCAATCATTGACCGTATAATTCTAAACATATAATAATACTTTTCACTGGAATGGACAAAAAGAAACTTTCAAAGTTGCATAAAGTGTACTACCCCTACGTAACTTGAGAGCATTTTCTTATATTTCAATCAATGTTGCACGTTGCAACTTGCAAGGGTACGAGTACGAGTATCGGATACGATACAATATGATAAGTAAGTACATTAATTTTTAAAATATTAAGATACAAATACAGCAAAAACATATCAAGTAGCATAATTTTTATTTTAAAAATTACTTATATTTTATTAATTAATGTTTTTTAATTCTTTATATTCTTAATATATATAATATTAGCTTGTATATTATCAATGCATTACTATTGACCATTAATATCTTAAAAAAAGTACTAAAAAAACATAATCATAATCAAATTTGAATAAGAACATTATATTCAAGTTATGATATAAAATATCTTTATTTTCCAAATATATAAAAATTAAAATATAAGATAATACAATCAAACTTCGATATCGAGAATGGTACGCTTACGAAATAGGTTGCCAGTTTTGAACTCACCATGAAAAGATCATATACTGGTTCAATCATTTTCCCAAGCACCAAGCACTCAAGTACAACCAACAAATCCCAACCTCGACTCACATAATTCGAAGTCATGTGAACACTAAAAATGATTTCAAGCATTCCAATGATTTATTCTTCTTCTTCCCTAATTGATGAGATTTTAGAAGAAAACGAGAACAAAACGACACCCACAAGCGTTAGTTATGTTTATGAAAAGGGAAACGACATTCACCTGAGCGCAAACGTCAACAACCGCATGAAGGTCATTCCCAAACTCGTCAATGTCCTCGGAAAGCTTTTGCAAGAGCTCAACTTTAAACTTGTGGGTCTCCTGCAATATACCCCACTCAATAAAAGGCACGTGCTTCAAGAATGTGGAAAATTTGACGGTACTTACGGATTCTGCAAATTGGGGACTTGGGTGAGGGTACACGTGGTTGTTTGTGGGACAATTTGCGAGGGCGCAAGTTAAGGTGATTCTGGAAATGGGTTTGGTAGAGAGGGGCGAAGAATAAGACTTTGGCAGTGGCCAAAAGTGGCGCCGGATAAGGCAAGGCGCGCGTAGCATAAGAGTTTTTGTGGGACAGAGAGTAGAAGAAGAGACAGATACGAGAGAGGAAGTGAAAAGCAGCATTGGAATGTTTATGGTGTTAATGGCTTAGGTTGAGAATGCTCTGCGCTCCCTTATTCGTCTAACAGTGGTGAGTGACTGCCTTCGTGATCTTTTCATCTGCCTTTCCCTTTTGGTTTGGTGGCGAGTAGTGAATATATTATAATTTTTCTATTCTATTCAATTCGGTTTTCTCAACTCTTTTATATAAATAAAATTCTATAAAAAATGAGATATTAAGTTTATGTCAGATGTCACAACTCCTTGTCGAAAAAGATATGTACAATATTAGCTGATTAAAACTTGTATTAAATTTAAATATTTAAAAAATAAATAAATATTTATATTACATAACTAAATTTATATCTGAATAGTCTAGACTGATGTAGCATTAGCTACTTGTAAATATTTAGATTTTTTATTTTTTATTTTTAAAATTTTGAATTTATTTTACAAAAGAAAAATAGAAATAGAGTTTTAAAAAAAATAAAAATGTCTTAATAAAATAAGAAAAATTTAAAATTAATTTTAAAAAATAAAATAAAATATTACAAATAATTAAAGTTTTAAATCAATATTACTTTATAGGTAAAAAAAAGAAATTTTTAAATTTTTTATATTATATAAAAATTCTAGCAATAAAAATGGAGAGGAACCATGAAAAAGGAGCCGGGAAAAATTGAGAAAGAAGGGGATTTTGCTGAAAAATAATGAAGGAAAAAGAAAGTGGAAGAAAAAAAAGTTAAGCAAAGATAAGATTTTAATAATCTCAATTAAGTTTTATTATGCATCCTATAAATTTTTATTTTATGCATATTCATATTTTGAATGAGCATTTTATACATTAACTCAATCTTATAATATTTTGATTTTTTATAATTTGTTTATATACAAACCGTTACTGATCGCCACCTCTCTGCAAAAGTTTGGCTACCCACTAAAATGAAATCTTCTTCATTGTTCTTTCTCTTTTTCCCACTTCCAAATCATACCACTTTCAACCATCCAAAATTCAACTTCCTCTCCATTCATTTTCCTCTCTTTCAAACCATTACTTTCAAGTATCAAGATCTATCACCTCTTCACTCATCATTTTTTCCTTTTCCTTAACCTACCATCATTACTAAGTAAGAGACCTATCATATAAATTTCTCTCTTACCATTCTTCTTTTCTCTCCCTTCTCTCCCACACTAACTTCTACCACCCCAAAACAATGACCTTCATCAACCTCACCTCCACCCTCTCTATAACCTTAAAATCCTACGCTACATCTGAAAATTTTAATTTTGGCCATTTTAGCTCTTTTTTATTTTATTTTATTTTATTTAGATTCAAATTTATTATTATTATTTTTATTTTGAATTTTATTTTTATTTTTCTTAGCTCAACACACTTTTTATTATTTCAATTTCTTTTATTTTATTTTATTTGTATTTTATTGTTTTTTTAATTTTTTTTATTTCTAGTATTATTAGTAGTATAATTATTATTTAGATAGAGTTCTTATTATTTTATTTATTCTTTTTTATGTTAGCCTAACTTAAATAAAAATATTTAACTTTCTCATTTTTATTTATTTGTTTATTTATTTTAATTTAGCTCTCTTGATTCTATTTAATTTAGAATAATTATAATAAGAAATTATTGAAATTGGTTAAACATAACTTTATATTTTGTTTTATTTTATCATATTATACTTAAGTTATGTTTTTATTTGTAAAATTTATTTCATTCTAACATTAACAATAAATTTTTTTCATAATTTTCTATGTTATTTTATGGTTCATGTCTTAATTATATGTTAGTTATTCGTTTTTTAAAATTATTATCTTTTATTTTATTTATTGTATAATTGTAGAATGTTGATATGATTAAGTTTATGATTTACTTTCTTTTATTTCATGAATAGTAAATTATTATTTTTATAAAAATAAATAAATAATAATATAATTATATCAATTTATAACACTCATGTACGTGTAGCTTTTCTATATAAATTGATAAAGTCTAAATGGACCTATGTTAACTTGACTTTACACAATATTAATTTATCATATTTTATCTTTAATTAATCAGATAATTATCTTAACAATTAATCAAGACATATTCTTTCTCTAATTACTACTTTACTTATCAATCAACTAATTTAAATCAAAATTGTTCTATTAATGTAACAATTTATAATACTAATGTGTAACGACTCTACCTTTATACATTATAAATTGTCAAAATCTACGTGTATTAACATTACCTTGGTGCATTATACACCATCAATTTATACAAAAATTAATTTAACTTCTAAAATTAATCAATTATATAATTATTTTTATTTAATTAAAATGTATCATCTAATTCAAAATATTTCTCTATTTTATATTATAAAAAATAATTTATTTGTTTAATTAAATTAAAACATTTTTATCATATTAGTGCAACGATTTTTAGTATTATTGTGTAGTGTCTCTATCTTTACACTCTTTAAATTGTAAAGATTTTTGTGTACCAACATTACCTTGAGTCGTATACAATATAAATTTATCAAATAAATTTTTAATCTTTTTATTAAATAACTATTTTCTTTAATCAATTTAAATATATTTATTCTTTTCATCAAATGAAATTAATTTCATAATATAATTTTTATTAAGCCATATTTCAAATTTTGATAAATTAAATAACTAACCATTTCTTCATTTTATTATATAAATTTTTGCAACATCGATGATTTACATTATTTTCGATTGTCCAAATATTATAAGAGATTTATGTATAACTTACGCAATCTTAAATTCTCTTTCAACATAATTATAATTTAAATATAAATTCAAATATTTCATTTGTAAATAATTTTTTTTAATGATTTACAATATAGTTGTGTGATCTTCTTTCACCTTCCATATTTTTTTTTTCATTGGATACATGTATAACTGGGTTATCTTATATCCTAAACATTATAATCTTATGAAAATAATTTTAATTTAAAATAACCTTTATTTTACTCAACTTAATTTTAACCAACCAACTTCATAATTTTTAGATAGAAATACTATGGCTTTGAGTTTCCCTTTGCATCCAGCGGGAACCAGACAAGTCAAGTCAAAATAATTTTTAAAAATAATTTTTCTATTTTTTAAGATACCCATAAACATTTCAATAAATAATTTATCTTTTTTTAAAACAAAAATAAAAATAATTATTGTTTAGGGATTAAATAAATATTTTTCAAAATTAAAATAAAGTTGCATAATTAATTGAAGGTAACTGTTGTTTAAACGGATATTATAGGATGCTAATATTTTCTCTACACATAAATGACTATCAAGTTCATTTTTAGTTTCAAAGATTATTTTTTAAAGTTTTTTTAAGATTTTTTTAAAATAAACTTTGGTGACAAGACTTTTTAAAAAATATTCTTTTATTTTTAAAAAATATTTTTGTTAAACATATTTTTACTGTACCGTTATGATCGCTTGGTTGCGATGCTACTGTTGCTACAGCCTGATTTGAGTTGCAAGGGTTGCTTGACTTGCAAGTTGCTGTTGCAGAACTATGTCTAAGCTCTACCTCATGACTGCCACCATGACCTCCGTAATGTGAACTATTCAATTCATGTTAGGTGGTGAAGGAGGGTTCGATCTTGGTATTCTTTGGGATTTCGCTATCTTAACACAAAATATAAGCAATTTAGAATACTAATAGCCACCCCTATCTTAGAATTGGTCATTCAACTACACAAATAGTATACCATGCATGACACACACATAAATCAGCACACCCCACCACATAGCAACACAGCCTTGGTTATAAACTCATTTCATTATAGGCTCATTTTGCTTTTAGGTAAAATAAATGTGTCAATTTACTTAATTTCTTTTATATATATTTGGTCCTTATTTTAATTGTTTGATATATTTTAGTTTTTGTTTTCAAGGATTCTGCAACTAAAGTAGAAACAATTTGATGTAATTCTAAGTTTTTGTGAGACCAACTTTGTATTTATATTAGATTGTGTAATTGCACAGTTAGTGTCCCTCTGCACTTGCGAATGTTTATTATTATTAAACTCAACGAAATAACTAATTCGGTATGAAAAATCAGTTTTATTAGTTTACAATTTCAGGATTGATTTATTAAAATAGAAAATATTTATTGTATTAAAAATATAAATATGCAAAAACATTTTTTATAATTATATTTAAATTCATTTCATTTGTGTTATGCAGGCAAATTTTTATCCTCTCAAATCATCTGCAATCTGCGTTGACCCCCTGTTAACAAGAAAAAAAAAAGTAAAGTGAAAACAAAATTAGACTTGTTTTAGCCTTTTAGGTCCAACGGTAGAGGGATTAAAGTAGGGGTTAAAAATAGAAAAACAGAAACTAAAAATAAAATAAAATAAAAGATTAAAAATAATTGACAATTAATTAAAACAAAAAAAAACTGACAATTTATTGAAGGTTAAAATAAATCAAACACTATCATTTATATAATTTTATGATATATTAAAAAAATAAATGAGTTGTTCTATAGAAATAGTAAAATTAAAAGCATTTAATCTAATTTTATTTTATTCTATTATATTAAAAAAATAAATGACTATTTTTTTCTTAATTATTTAAATAATTTACTATTAAATTCGTAAATATATTTCAAAATATTCCACTAAAATGGTATCTGAAAGCTGAGTTGAATCAGTCCAATAAGAATTTCTTGTGAGTTGTGAAGTGTCATGCCCCAATTGCGATATGGTAAAACTTAATAAAATATGTCATTCTACGGCTCTACTATCCATGGAGGTTGCTCCAATTAAAGTGAGTTGCTCTAATCAACTTACATATTTGTGTTATTTGTATTCAAACATAATGTAGAAGCAAAATGTTAGTCATGTCCAAACGGCTATGCAAATAGAAAACATATCTATACTTCAATCAGACTCAAACATATATATACAATAGTGAAGAGTCTAACCCACGGTTCCTTAACACCGAGTTGACCTGTTTGGGATAAAGAAAATTTTCTAAGTTAAAAATCATCTTGAAGGAAACTACATTTCAACAAGTTTTGAGGGTCAAGAAGGAGCCAAAGATAAGCCTGAACATAAGAGAATATTGGAAGATTATCTAAGATCTTTGGTTTTAATTAAAAGGGA